ACTCTGAACCCTTTCCAACGATTCAATGTATATTTTAAGAACTGTAGAAAAACAAATACTGATTTCTAAAGGTGTTAGTATCTGGAAAATATTTTTGTCAAACATATGTTTCATTACCTGGAAAATTGGGAACTTTTGAAATGTGCTCCCCAGTGGCATGGCGGTATGTCTGCAAACTTACAATGCTAGAAACTGGGTTATTTTGATACCCATGGTGAGCAGAGCACAGATAGCTCATTGTGTAGCTTTGTGCTTAATTACAAACAAAAAAACTTTTCAACTGCTTTAAAATATCATTATATTTTATGTATATATATATAAGTAACTGCTCGTATTTTCTTAATAAAATTGTCATTAAAATGTCATGGAACTTGGATACTGTACAAGTATCATTTTCAGTTGCCAATAAAGAACAAACATAATTCCATGGTATGACAAAAGCTTGAAGCATGGATATTTGTTTTTCTTCTAAAGAATATTGTTAATTTTTACACTTACCTTTTAGTACCACACTTCACAAAGAAAACAGAATTATTGAAGAATGTAAATAAGTTTACTTTCGTAATGAACATTTTAGCTTGTCCCAGTTACAGCTGTAACATGATTGTAAAATACAAGTGACCCAGAAATAGATAGGTATAACATTTATTACAAAAGCTCTATAAAAAAGAGTAACTGTAATAGTTTGCTAACTTAGTTGTTTTGTTAAAACTATTATAGACACAGATAGGTAGTTAACTTGAACTTCATAGGTTTCATACAAGATCAACCTAGAAATCATTGAAACTTTGAATTTAACAGTTTTACTTAAATTGCCTACAGCATCAATTCATGTTTGTTTTACATTTTTCAGTTTTTACTCCTACAAATTCATGATTATAAATTAACAAGTATACTGAATGTTCATTTCTACTTAGAAGTAACTGTAAGTAAATTGGTGTGCTAGTACCATTATTCAGGTACATACAGAGTTTGCTAAACAATAATTTGTAAAATATTCCATCTAGATGCACTAACAAGTACTACATAATATAATAAACATTTTCTTGGTATGTTGAGTTTCTTTTCCATACATGTTGAATCTGTCTTAAATTGTAAAAGAAAGAGATTAATGTTCCAAAATTATAACAGAAAAATTGTTTTAGTATTTTGAAGATTTCTTATGAATGCAACATTTATAAGATTTAATTCAGTTTTAAACTATGTGACCAAAATAGCAATAATCATCAAATAACACTGTGCTGTCTAAAGTAGTGTTTGGGTACAGTTAGTCCTTGTATGAAAGCTGACACAATATTATACTGCAATATTTATTACCTAAAAAACAACTAGTCTAATTTCAGCTTAAAGAATTGCATAAAACTATTGTAACTTTTTGTCATTCATGTCAAACTGTTTTGTAATTAAGGTTTTTGATATTTCACATTTTAAGACAGCTTCTAGTGAATGTAGAATGCTTTGAGACAGAATAATGTTTAGTAAGTTGTTATGCTTAAAAAAAAGAAAGCTACTTGTAGTAAAAACACAACTAATATATATTCTGTAATCTTTTTTCTGAAAGATTATTGTTATTAATTGTTCATTAACCCTTTGAATGCTATAATCAGATTTATTCAACTTGACATTTATAGCCATTTGGTGCGACAAGTGGATTTACCCCACAGTGTCACAAAAACTCCAGAATTTTTGGCACAAGACTTCATTGTGGGTCTGATACATGTGTCAGTAGCTTTCCATTAGAATCCATGGTAGATCAGTGGTTAAAATGGGATTTTGGAAGTGTGGGAACTCCCTTTTGTAGTAGCAGCATGGTACAACAGAGGGTATACATACCACGAGAAAATTCCAATGTTAAATGGAGCCATCTTGTACATTATTTATAATTACAGCAGAAATTTAAATAACCCAGTTTGTTTGAGAGTTGAACACAAATATTTTATGGAGCAATGAAGTGAAATAAAGTAGAAGACCAGGAACACTAATGGTATGATTCCTCAAGAGGCAAAAAGCTGTTCTGCCCAAAATTAACCCCTGTGGTGGATATTTCTCATCAACAATGATTCAAGTGCTGCTTCTAGTCAGTAGTTGTTAGGTCTTTCCTTTGGAGGATAGGACCATATGAAATTGGAGTAAACTGAATACCCGAAAAGATAAATGGTGGTAGCCAGCCTAAGAAGAGTGATTGAAATCCCAGGTTTATTCTATGTAATTTTAAGCTCAAAAACTTCTTCACTACAATTATTATTATTTTCACAAGGTGCACAATAAGACCATTGTAAGAAACAAAGGGTATTTTGGCTGCATGAAAGTTCAATATTAATTATCTTCTTTTCCTGGAAGGTATTCATAGCTCCAAAAGTATTGAGTGATACTTCTAAAATTGAAGTACAGGAGTTACAGCTACATATATCATGGAAAAAATCACACAGTGGTAGGCATTTAAAATAGTTAAGGATTAATATAGAATAAAGTTATGGAACTGGCTTTAAACTAGTATGTTTTGACAAGCACCACCTTCGTAAATTGTTGGCAAGCAATGAGGGAAAAAAATAGTCCTCACAACCAACTTACGCCTAGTTCAGACTCTCAAACTAACTGTTTTTCAGAATAAGTATGACAATTCATGTAGATGGGGGTGCAACTGTGATGTTCTATAAATGTATGCAGAATATATTTTTAGATCCATTGGTATGGTTTGGACACTTCTGTCAAAGATATTACTCATCCAATTTACTCCCCATGGCGTGTTTGCCCTGGGCTCTTAAAATAGTTACTGTTACATAATACCAAATACTGAAAAGTGGCATCAAACACTCTTTTCTTCACTTGTGGTAATTCTTTGTTGCTGTGAAATATCATCTTAGTCAACCAAGCTAATGGTGATATCACCTTTCTATATACCAATGAAAAAGTATTATTAACTATTTTTATAAATAATGGAAAGCCTAGATATTATATTCAACAAATATGACACCAAGTTATTAGTACAAAGAACTAGATAATAACAATTCACCATCTTTAGCACATGCAAAAGACTGAAATTTGAAGTTGATGCCCATCAATGTTGAGTTAATGTAACTTTCTGTCAGTTCTAGAGCCTAATGTTAATAATCATACTAAGACATATTTGTTTCAATATATGTGAACAATATACTCATCTCTGGCAGTGCTTTTAAAGGACCCTCTGTAACCTGAACAAAATACTATACTAGTTAGGCCAGGCTATGTATAAGCACGAAACACTGACTGGCACTACCACGAGAATATATTCAGTTGTGATGGTATGAGAATTAACTGCAAGAAATGCATCAGTACAAAATATTTATTAGTTATGGCCTACTTGCAAATAATGCATCCTAACTACATATGCAAATATGGATCTAAAAGAAATGTCATCATAATTGAAGAGAGACGTGATCTTACACTTATACTGTAAGCTATCCTTTAAAAATTGCTGAAAAACCTGTAGTCAGGTGCCACTGTAACCATAGATGGAGTTTAAGGAGGAGCAAGCAGCAGCAGACTAACTACTGCATAGGAATTGAGTATAAAAATAAATGGATGACAAAGACTACACTTTGGAACATTTGAGAAACCAGCATTGATTCAAAGGAATGATGTTTTATTAACCAGAATTCAAAATAGGAGGCCATGCAATAAAATAAATATTACACAACAGCTTGCTAGAACACCCTTGAAAAGAATAACTATGAACGTTATAGAACCATTATCTGTGTCATTTAAGAAACAACTAGCCCTGCCAAGAAAATCTGGTCAATTAGTCATAAAATGGAGATCCAAATATTCACTGTTCTAATACAGTGTGGCACTATTCTTGACCTGAATAAATGCAGTTATTGTCCGAGGTATGCATTTAAATATATTCTGACCAGTATCTGGTGCATTTTGTCGAATGTTATCTTTGAATTCCATCTAACTGTTGCTGCTGAAAGGTTGTGATCTAACCTAATCAGTTAATCTCTCCATACAATCCGAAAGATGACCCGTAGGACTAATATCTGGGGTGTAGTTGAAGCATTCGAGACAAATATTGTTACTTTCAAACATGGCATGTGTTGCATAATTCCATAAAAATAGCAATTGGTAATTAAATGTCAAGATTATAGCATTGAGAAGTTTTACATAAAACAAAGCAATCTTTAAGAGTCTTGATGTAAAGGCATGCTTATCCTAGCCCTTTTCAAGGAGAATACATTTTGTAAACCTTATAAATGATGCTCAATCACAAAAGGCTACAATGATTATAATAATGTTGCTGTGAACTTGTTGCAAAGACTATTTCCAGAAATCTTTTACAACTCTTAAAAAGTAAAAACTTGCCTTGGATGAGGTACTATACAAAGTTTCAATACCTTTGAATGGTCTCGTACATAATAACTCCTGCATGCCCAAGGACTGATACTGCTTAACATATCTGTGTACTGGATATAAGCAGCCTAGAGATTCTCATCTTGTTAAATTCACTCACTTCAGACATCTTGAACACAAACACAATATTCAAATATGAGTTCGAACCACTTCATGTGAGCTTTCGATCCTCACTTAGGTCATCTTTGGAAAACCAGTAAACTTGAATTCACAAAATTGAAATACATTCATAACACCACATGTATAGATTTTTAATAACAAAGGAACTACAGAGTTCTCTTTGTGATATAAGAATGAATTTTTGGTGTGGAATGTCCATTCACCTGAAGAACTTGGAATTACAATTTTCTGAGGAGTACCTGGTTGTAGTGCTTATCCATATACTTGCTAGCAAATGAGATCCCTCAACTTATGCATGTTCTTTTATCCTTTCTTCTAGGCAGCACTTTGTACTGCCCATATACATCAGATTACATTTCACACACACACCTGAATGCTTACACTACTCCTGATCCTTGAAGGTAGGATATTATCTCTTTGAAAGAGAAGACATTTTCCAGTCTTAAAGATTTTAAAATTGTCCTAAATTGAACTTTAAAATGTTCCAAAATTGCTTTCTTTGTTTCATACTGTAAGTTCCCATGCATTATATTACTAATGTTTGGAGGAAATTTCTGCACACTGGAGGGTTGTTTGAGTTATTGATATAACTTTCAACTGTATCATCTACAAGTTTAATCTGACACTCATCTTCTACCTAGTATTTGTATTTCAACTCAGTTAGTTGGAGCCCATTGTTATATGATCAAGGGGTATATGGATACTTCTGATAAGGTAATGTTTTTGAACTAGTGGGTTTTCACAAAATGGGCCGAGACTTTTGCACTACCTGATTGCATTGCATTAGTCAGATTTGTAGAGCCACATGAATTATACACAGTTTGCTAAGTTCCTTAATCAAGACCAAGAAAATTTAAATAACCAATTATAATATGTTGTAAATGCTTACAAGGTAATTGAGTAATTAAGGGAATAAGTTGCCTAACCTTAAAATCTTATCATTCTTCTTTAATTGTGGGTTGGAAGAAAGATATTATCTTTTCTTCTGGAATTGAGTGGTTCTGCTCCATTCTTTTATTTCTTATATCACTTGCCAGAAAGGTATTAATTTCTTTGATTTGAATTTTCAGACCTAATAAGTTAGTTTCTAAGGTTAAAAGGAATCCATAAATTTTTTGGGCTTTCTGGAAGGTTAACCTCAGTTGGGAATTATTTGTCCTATTCAAACTGAATATTTCCTGTGAAAGTGAATACTCATCCAAATATTCATATGACCAAGGTCCTCATATCCTTCCATTATTCTGGTCTCTTATTCTAGAACCCTGGATTTTTAATAGCAGATGCTTACATTAGGGCAAGTGGTTTCTGTCTCCGTATTTTTATTCTCCTCCATCATCCCCCTGTTAGGATTTATTGTTGGATGTTTTCCCATTACACTGCAGAATTACTTCCAGGTTGTATGGTTGTTAACATTTCCTTTTCAGTCATTAGCAATTTTAATAAAATTGAATTAGTTAACATCAAGCAGAAGATCTGTTTTGTCCCTGTCCTGTAATTTGGTATTGCTTGATTCGTATTATTATTTAATCCTTTATACATGAGCCTTTAACACAACATGCACTGTATTTGTAAAGTTTCATACATTTTGTTTCTTGACTATTCCTTTCTCAAGGAAGTTGGGCAGCTTTTCTACCTAGTTCACACAGAGTCAGTCTAAGGTGCTTATTGCAAACTATAAGTTCCCTATGATTGTACTAGAAAAATAACTTTTTTGTTTTAAGTGAGATTATGATCTTTATATAAAAATTTTTTTTAACACGTCCTTCAGGAGCCAAGGTGTGTCTTTACACTACAATTTGTTGAATATTAAAAGTAAGTTCAATCCAGAAACTCCCAAAGAGGGTGGTTTTGGACTTATCTTTTCGAGACAAGTTTTCATTTATTAATTGATAAATTTTTAAGTGAAATACAGCATCCTCATATCTCCATACTAGCTAGTACTAAGGTCTACCTGCTGGGAGTAAATTCAGTATATATCAATAAAGCCACATTCTCAGCATCATTAATTAAGCAACTGCCAATGTTTTATGCTTCTGCTATCACTTTTTTATTTTTAGCTTTCAATTAAGATACGAAAGATTTCACCTGCAAGTTGGTAGGGAAGGTTGAAGCATCACGATAGTCAGCAGTAGGATGAATAGACAGGAACACTTTAAAAGCAGCTACAGGCATAATATTGTATTCAGCTTCCTGCACAATATTTACCAAGATGGTTCTATGGTTCCCGAATACCTCTGCATGTCATTTGAGAATTCCATGCTTTTTGTGCTTGGCCATTAAGCTCATGATGCACTAATGGATTTCAATCACCTTACCACTTTTCACAGCCCCAGTGCTAAAAGAGTGCAGGAAATGTCTTCTTTTTAGCCAATAAAAATGTCCAAAAAATTTCAGTTCAAATTAAAAAAAAAACTGGATTGGTAGTTTTTTTTTAACAAAAATGTCCCCCACTGGCTCGTAAGGGGTCTGTTAATACGTACATTCTGGGATATGTCTTACAGGAAAAATACATGTTTTTTTGGCAGTGGCTGCTCAATATTCATAGGAAGACATATATTTGTAGTTGTGTATAAGGACCACCATATGTATCTTTTCACTGATATACATTTATGGTACTCCCATGCTAAATTGATTCTGCAAAAACTTACGTAGGTCCACTTTATAATGGGAGGATTGGCAGGATAAATTATGAAGTAAATCTAAATTTAACTACTAATTGAGTTCAAAATAAACAGGTTAGACATGATGAAGACAGTCTTTATTTATTCAGTAGACAAAAACAAAGTATGCATGCTTTCTTTCTGGACAGTGCCTGCTACAAGATTTGTGAATTGATCAACAGGTTTTCTTCCTTCCAGATGTCTTCCCATCAACTGACTTGCTTAATTTCCTTTGTAGCAATGCTTCTTACTTAATGGGAAATGTCAAGTTTACACATAGAGACTAACACTACCCACATGACTGGACATTCTCATTCAACATGGGGAGGTCGTAAACTCTTGATATCATCTGCTCCACTGCTGTCATTGACCTTCTTCTACAATGTGTAATTTTACAACAATATTCCCTGCAGGTGGAGAAGGTATCTCTAGAGAAAAATAAAGGCCGTTTGAATGAAGTTACAGGTTTTATGGACTTTTGTTATGCAAAAACTACATAGACTCGGAGTAAACAATTTTTTTTAAGTTCTCCATTAAGATTACAAGGTAGAAAACATGTGGTATGTCTGCAGACCACAAATATACAGTTTGTTGCTTGCATTCAGGTTCCATCTTGAACTTAAAAATATTTCTAAATTGTTTTTTTCCTTTACTATATAGTTTCCTAAACCAGTGGTTCTCAACCTTTTGCATCAAATGTCCCACCAACCATTTTGTCAAAAAACATTAATCCCACCACGATAAAAATCACACTTTTTCCAAGAAGTATATTTTTATTTACACGCATTTTAGTTTTATATTAATCATTAATGGAAATTTTAAAGACATTAAAAATTGCAATAATTTTGTTGAGAGTAAGTTTTATTGCTATAATTATATATAAAAAAAATTCTATTAGCAGAAATGAAATAATTAGTCATTAGTGAAAAGTCTGTGGTTGCATTTCATTGGCATGCATATTCTTAGGGTAATGTTTGAAGTAGTGACTCAAAAAGTTGCATTGAGTTGAAGATGGTTTCTTTCCTTCATTTTTATAATTGCCATGGTAGAGAAGGCTCACTCATAAAAGTATGTGGAAGAAAAGGGTAGTAGTTTCTTAATGACTTTTAGCCAAGTTGTCCTGAACAACTAGGTTACTTAAAGTTCTCACTTTTTTGCATTTTGTAGTTTACCTTCATTAATTCAAATTTGTCAAGTTGTGGAAGTGGAATGCTTATAGATGATCACCAATCACTGAATTGACACTAACTTTGTCTCAGTCATTAAATCTGTGGTTAGATACAATACCTCCAGTGTTCAACAGATTCAGTTGTTTGTGTTTTTGTTCATGAGGGCTAGTTTCGCTATGTGTTCCTAATTTATAAGTGACAGACTAGAGTGAAGGCAGCTAGTCAACACCATCCACCAACAGTTCTAGGCCTACTCTTTACTAATGAACAATGGGATTAACAGTAACATTATAAAGCCTCCATGGCTGAAATGGTGAGCATGTTTGTTGATGGGATTTGGACTTCTGACCCTCAGATTGCAAGTTGACCTTCCTAACCACAAGGCTATGTCAGGGCTAAGAAAAAAACAAGAGACTTGGTACAATAATAATGAAGTTAATACCACCTGTCTAAATTATCCATTTTATTTTGATGAAATTTATATATTCTCTATTTTATTGCTAAGTATTTAAGCTACTTGTTTTGTTAATTTGAATCAAGTAAGTTTTAAAATGATGAGTAGTTTTTAGTTATTGTGAGTATCCCTAGTTATTTCATTATCATCATATCCTGTTACTTCTACAGAATCTCCAAAGTATTTTTAACATTTCTGTCACTTTGTTTTTGGTTAACTACATGTAGATTGAAAGAAAACTCTTCTATTCTTTATTTTAGCTAATACACATGAGTTTATTGTTTTAGGACTGTTTACAAATAGGTAAATACTATACAAGTCCAGCAGTTTGTGCACAGCCATAATACAACAGTGATACAAAAATACTTCCATACAGAGACATTTAACCTCATGAAATAGAATACAGTAAAGAACTCATTTTTTAAATTTTAATTGCTCAGTTACATTTTAACAACAGTTGTACATATGCTTGCTTGATACTTAAGCCTGTTATCAATAAATAATTACAATAAAACTTTAATTTATTAATTTAAAATAATTATAATTTGATAACAATTAAAAATTCGATAAACTTAGATATTGTTCAACTCTACATAAAAGTTTGTAACCTGTCGAGTAACACTGCTAGTTAAACATTACACGTGTATATCAATTAATAGCTCAAAGTTTTTGAAACTAACTACTGAAATACCCCACATCTTGGCCATTTCTTAATCTAAGGTAAACATACATTTTCTGATGAGGTGGTTGACACACCTAAACACTCAAAGAAATCATTATTCATTTAATAATAGTTAATTTGAAAAGTGGAAATCAAAAAAGCCTCATCTGATTGACGAGAATAAAAATAAATAAATTCTTTATTAAGTTGCAATCATAACTAATTGTAAACATATATATAAAAAAAATCACTCTCCAATAAAGTCTTGTCTTAACTCTTTAAAACTAGTCAAGTAAAAATAATAAGTTTCTTTTTAAAGCACATATATATATGTAAAATTCAGCTAACTAAGCTAAAAAAGTGTTGCATATAGAGGATCAGAGAAATCAAATTGGGGCTCATACTGTGATGTACAAATACTAAAATGTATCCTCCTATGAAAGTTATATGTTAAGACTGTTCATACATTAAAATTAGAAAGAAGACAAATGTGTATCTACACTTTCTGTGCTTTACAGAGTTCTCTTATGATAGACATTAATATTTTACAATGACAAAGAAGACATTATATTTTTGCCTAGTTTCAGAAAATATCTCATGCTGAGAATATAAATGAAATCAGTTTTAAAGCGTACAGAATTACCACTATGTGAAAAAATATTTCCAGCACTTTAATAACTTCAACAAATTTATTAATTTTTTGGCAATTACTACATCTATAATTTATAAAACTCTTGCCATTGAACAGTTGTAACACGTTCACAACAAATACAGATATACACACACACACACACACACACACCACAAAACAGCAGATTTATATATTCCAATGAATATTTATAACTTACCAATTGTTAGTAGTCCACAACACCAATAAAACATCAATTATTACAGTGTGATATGTATTAAAAGCCTGAACAAAATAACATAATTAGATTGGAATACTCTTGCTCCATGTCAAATACAAATGAAAATTTTGGAATGAGCACAAACCAAACTTTTTTCATACTAGCTGTCTCATATAGCTTATCTTCATATGGATTTATTGCCTTTTTAAAATACAACCTTGTATTTTCATATTGTATTCTAAGTTGTGTGCATTCTAGATCAAAGGAATGGATGTAAAACTAAGGATAAGGATGATAATTTTAATTTTAGGCATGATGAAAAATGTTTTGAGGCTTCTTTGCTATTTCATACATACTTCTGAGTGCACTGATCCTTACATAGGAAAGCCTTAAGAGCAGGAAGATAAAAAGCACTGACAAATTTCTTAAGTTGTCCAACATGTTTACTGTTGTTTTAGTGATGGTCTTAACTACGTGTAATCAGTCGATTTCAATCAATTGTTCTTAAGAAAATAACTAAAAACAAAAAAGAACACAGGTTTTTTAATATTGTTTAGTTGATAACTGAAAGGGGTGTTTTTGGACATCTTTACAGTATTGAACAATTAATTAATAGTGAAAATGTGTGGTAGGGTTATGTTTATACTACTAGAAAAGTCTACACAAATGTAGGGTTTGTTAATATTGAAAATACAAATAACTTTGACCTACAAAGGCATTAGATATGAATTATATATAAGAATTCTTGTTAAAGAAATATGTGAAGAAAAACCTTATAAATTTAGCTGAAAATCTGAATATCCTCAAATTCTCTTTAATAACAAAAGACTATAAAGTTATATGTATATCTAATATTAAAACCAATCCATTTTCATCACCTAAATTAACATACAGCTTCACTGGGTTACAATACACTGATAAGAGTTGACACATTCATCTTTTGCATGAAATTTGAAAATTTGTTTCATGAACTTGATTGAAATGACTTTGGCTTACATATGTCATAGAAATTTTAGATTAAAAAACACAGAGAAAATGTTCAGAGAAACAGGCACCAAGAACTGTATCTAAGTGATGCTAATGAAATTATAAGTTCTTAAGATAAGTGAGAAATCTAAAAACAAAAAGCATCACTTGTGTAGCCAGAAATTCAGTTAGAACATCTCACAGGGTTACCATCTTATTCCTCATGTTAAGATGATGATAACAGCTAAGTAAGGCATTTTTAAAAGTAGAACAGTAGTCATTAATATGACTTTGAAAAAAGAAAATGAACTCGAATAAGATTCAGAAACATGCACATACATGATGTAATTGTGTTGAATACCTAATAGTACATTGCATAGTACATTACTGTAACACACATTACAGAAGTTAGGATTTCAGATATATTTTTCTGAAGTACAGGAGTTTTCTAAAACGCTGCTCTACAGTATTAGAAAATGCTTCTTTATGAATACTTTTAATCATAAATCCACAATAAAGGCATACATACCTAAACCAACCTTGATGCGTAGCTGTGGTCTTTAATTACGAACAACTTAATAGGACATGAATGAGCAAATAATTTAAAAAAAAGTTGTATTGGAAGAAATAAAATTAAAAAACAGAAATATTATCATCAAAAAGAAGCTGCAGTAAAGATGATAACAATAACATATGGGAGTAATTCCTTCCATAGGTCCATAACTATGTCAAGTCACCACAGTTTAAATACAGCTAAGCTACAGAGATATGGGGAAAAAAAAAAGAAGAGATAACCAGATGGTATCTGAATTTGAGTTTTTTGCTTGTTTTTGTATTTATGGCAAAACTACTAAGACTATCACTAATATTGAACAACTGACCAAAGGGAGGACAGCTGGTAAACAGCACTCTACCACCAATACTAAACGATTGATTGTAACTCTTATAATGCACCCACAGTTTAAAGTGCAGGGAATATTTTGTGGTATCACATGGATTTGAACATGGCTTGCCAGCTCCAAAATCCATAGCTGTACCACAGGGCTAACTCGCACCTAAACCAGAATGTGCATGTTGAGAATAGTTATAAGTCTATGTTTTGGCAAGCGATAGGATATGTACTTGACATTAATTTTGATCACAATATTCTTGATTTCCAGAGAATAAGACTGATTTCTTTTCAGGATACTTCACTCATCACAACCAGTCATTAGGTATGGGTACCCTTTTTGGTGTTCTCTATTGTGAATAAGACAAATTATAATATAAAAAAATAAAGACAATAATGAAAATGCAGTAGTTTGTTTTAAACTTTTTCCCCCACTAAATGGTAAAGTGTGGCAAATGTAACATTCCTATCTAAAATAAAATAAAATGATAAATATGTAATCAAGCATATATTTGTGTTAAAATAAACAACTAGACTAAATTTCACTCTGAACTATAAGCTGAAGGTATTGTGTATATATTTACCATTCTGTATGTGACTCTAAACAAACCTTTAGATTTTAAGATTGATTTATTTTTTTCTTACAGAATCTTTCCACTTGTACAAAACCACTGAAATTTAAGTATCTTCCTGAAAAGTTAATGGGAATCAGTTACATCTAAAATAAAATAGATATCTTACTTAACTGAATAAAAAGAAGCAAAAGAAATGATAATGCATAAAGATACAAATTCTTGTTTTCCTGAATCTTACAAGGTAACAATACCTAAATTCATATTTGATCAATCGATCAGAATTTGGGTATGTGAGTATACTTTTGATTCAAAGACTACTGTTATGCATGCTATTTTCATCTATCTTCAGGAAAAGTAGTAGGTAGCATTTGCTGCTCTCATGCACTCCCAGTAAATCAAACATCTTTGTGCATTTAGATAAAATAAATTCCAACTGATATCATAATTGTGAACTGCAAAGCATGCTAAATAAAGACAAAGTTTAAACATGTATGTGCTAGCACAGACCCACAAAACATTTGCAGTCAAATTAGTATTACTTAAGCCTTTATTAAGTACAGCCTATATTCAATATTAGTTAAGCCTTTATTAAGTACAGCCTATATTCGAGAAAAAGATAAGTTAACACTAACCTGTGTACATGTTTTGCTTTAGTTTAGATAGGGCTAAACTTTACCATACATAATACTATCAATAAATAAACATATAATGTTATTATATGACCCAACATTAGACCTTTTTAAAACTTTGATAAGCTTTTAATTTGTTGTTGTACAAAATGTCTACGAAAATATATTTACATCCGTTGAAGTGTGCTCGCATTTACATTTAGACAGTAAGGTGAGCACACATTTTCTGGACAGACAAAAACTGAATATTATTATAACAGATACCTATATAAACCTAAAAGCATTCTGTACATACCTTATATTTGTATATCTAAATAAAATATGATGGCTCTCAAGAATAAAATTTAGGTAAAAAATTAATTTCATTTTTAGCATATGAAAAAGCTGGCCATTTTTCTTTACGAAATTGCACAAACAGCTCTAAGGAAATTGTTCTTAAATCTAAAGGCAACTGAAAACATTCTACACTCTTATAGTAAACAAGAACTGATCCTTATTAGTTGTGCTGATTTTAAAGGTATTGATAAATCTTACCTGTAGGTTTAACACATTCACCTAAATAATAAAACAAAAAGGTACAGGTTTCATTACAGTGATATATATAGAACGTTTATAAGGCAATAGATTTATTGCAAACAAAATGAGGTAAAACACGCAAGTTGTGTACTTATAATACCATAATTTTGAAACATTTCCTTTACCAGTACTCATTCACTATTACAAGAGTCACTCAAACACTACTCATTTGTCCTATAAAGGTAAATTAACAGTTCACATCATATAGCTACGAGATAATGAATTAAGGTTCTATTGAATATGGAGCTCATAAAACTGTACAAGTAACTAGGAAACTTGCATTTAACCAAACATTCATGTTTTAAGATGTTTAAAATTTGAAGCTTTATTACTCCCAAGAAGTAACATTGATTGCAAGTGTGTCAGTATACATTTATGAATTTTCACTACTATAGTAAAAATACTTTGTTTATATTTTAGAACAAAATAGATTATAAAATATGTGGTAATACTTTATTTATCTAAACCTAAAAAGTATGTATACTATTTATATCTTGTTGTTGTTATAGAATTTCACAAACCATGACCAATGGGCCAGTTACGTGCTGTAACTGACTACTCTTATTTAATATTTTAATAGTATACTTTATCTTTTCAGCACCATATTTTAAACATTAACTTAGTTGGCTCCTTTTATTTTATTTTTTTACGTACATTTTATATATGTACAGTTTATTTGTATTACCTGTATATCAATACATACAGCAATCTCTTACACTTTTTTTTAAAAACATCTATTTATCACCAATTCCTATGATTTATACATACACATATACTCCTGTAACTATCAGGATTCGAAATGGAAAGTGTTAGAGGATATTTAAAACCAATTCTCATACTTTCAAGATGTATTAGTTACAAATGCATCATACTTTTCAGGTATGAAGAGTTTAAAGTTTTCACTAAAGTAGCGTCGAACAGTTTAACTATAAATTTATTATAAATTCAAACTCTTGTTTAAATTTTATGTAATTTCATTTTTCATTGTATGTTATTATAAAATTAAGTCTTAGTACATACTTTTCTATAGAAAACCCGTTGCAGCGGATTCGCTACCCGACTTGCATGTGAAAAGACTTGCCCTTGAAGCACTTTGATGCTGTGACTGGTATCCGAAATAATTTGGGCCATTTTCATAGGTAATGTTTTCTTATATTTCTCTCTCTTTCTATTTGATGTGGTGTATTTTAAAGTGGCAGCAATTTACATCTGTCAGAGCATGAGAGCAGCACAAATGGCCAAGCATCTTGGTTGTAACCTTGGATGAATCTATTTGATTAATAACATCAAGGCTGTAAAGGAATATGGATTCTCTTAGTACCTACAGCAGAAACCAGGACAGAAAAGCTGTAGTACCTGTAAGCCAGCAGAAGGACTTTTCAGTCAGGTACAGTGACTTTGATCAGTTTCTGTGAGCAGAACTTCAGCACCATAAACAGCTATGGTGATCAGCCAATAAGGAGGATTAACTGACTTGAAATAGATGAAACTACATTAGGATACAATAGATAATCACGGTCCATTTTAGCTGCAGATTTGCTAATGCTCATCTCCTGAAATGAAAGCAAGACCTTTTCACTCTCTCAGGTGAAGCAGTTCATTTCCAAATGATTATTCACTAGCCCCTAAGAAGCCAGATGTAAATCTTAAAAGGCTGTTCTGAAATGTGTTAAGTGTGGACTACCAGGAAAATCTGAAGAGCTACATCAGATTTTCTATTTTGTAGCCAAAAGAAAAAAACAACAACTTCCTAACTTAAAGATTCCTGAAAATATATAAGCCTGAAATAGTTAAACTATGGAACAGGTCACCCAAATCACACTAAGTTATAGCTTGTGGCCATGCTACACCTGCCACTTCACCCATCATATTTCAATGCAAAAAGATAAAGTATTAGTGAGAACTATTCCACATAAACAGATTATTTCAACAAGTTAAGTCAAGTCAGTTAAGCTGTGCATCATCACATGTGAGTAAAAGATGTCAGATTTTTAACAGCAACTGTCTCCAGTCACTAGATATGAGATGGTGACACAGGGGACCTTAGGGTGTAACAGAGAAGTTAGCTGCTATGGCTTCAACACAGAGACAGGTGACCAATTCATGCATTTCAGTGGAGCCACCTGCACTTTGGTTTACATCCAACTCAAACTGAAGGACAGTCTAATTACTCATTCACAAACTACTTAAGTGTCAGTGTGGATAGTAGATAAACAGTAATCTCAACTGGATATGGCAGCTACAGTGCTACAATAGGAGATGAAAGGAGGCCAATTACAGCTTCTACACTTGCAGTTTTTAAAACCACCAGGTAAGGAATTGTCTTTACAACAGTCAAGGACCAGAATACTTTTTTGTTTGCAACGTACAAGACAACTTTAAAATGCCAAAACAAGTAAACAACCAATTGTTCGAGCACACAGAGAGAATTTTATTAGAGCAATATAATACTTTTAAGGAGAGCTGATCTACGATTATAGGCTCAAAAAATCTAATATATACCAGTAAAGGAGCTCTCTTGATGGCTACTGTAGCCACTAGGACATCACTCAACACGAAAATATGCTATGATGTCCTCTACAAACTTTTATCTATTCAAAAGCAGGGGACAAAGAAGCTTAATTTAAACTGCACCTATGGAACACATCAGTTCCAGGAACATTTAGGGCACTAAGGAGTATATTATCTGTTAGGTGAAAGCTTAGAAATACCCTCATATAGCCAAGTCTTGTTGCCAGAACTTCAAAGAAGAAGCAGAATGACTCAGAAATACCCTTATATAACAGTCTTGTTGCCAGAAATAAAAAAAGAAGCAGACTGACTCAGAAATACCCTCATATAGCCAAGTCTTGTTGCCAGAACTCCAAAAAAGAAGCAGACTGACTCAGAAATACCCTCATATAGCCAAGTCTTGTTGCCAGAACTCCAAAAAAGTAGCAGTATGACTCAGAAATACTCTTATATAGCCAAGTCTTGTTAATGTGCAGATTTTTAAGGATTCTACATCAAGTCTATTGTAGAGTTGTTTCTTTATTTACCTTAACTTCATAAGAGTAATACCTTAAATTCTATTTTTTCATGTTTTAATTTTGGTGAAAAATCTGTAGTGTGCTTTGGATAATTTTGGTATTACACATATTTTTGAATAACTTTGCAGTCAAATTACATTAAAGCTTATTTTAAGTTTATTTTCTAAATTTTTTATGAGCTGTAAGGAAATAAGAGAAGGGATAGTCATAACATACATATTCAAGGGTTTAACTGTAAATTTTGTTTGAAGTTTAACCTTTGTTTAAATTTAATATAGCTTTCTCTTTAAAATTAGTGTTTTGATTTATTATTTTACAAGCAAAGTTATTATTAGCTTAATTATCTCAACTGATGTCTAAAATGACAGAAACTGGTGTTTCACTATGTATTGCTTTAGATAGTTGTTAAGATTAAAATAAACATAACTGAGAAGTAATATTTAACCTACATTAAATAACAGATAACTGTTTTTGTATCCAAACAATACATATATATATATATACAAAGCTTGATTTAAAGCTACAATCCAGTGCACTATTTTTATCTTTTGTTATTCTTCCCTATAAAAAGCCAAGTTAGATAAACTAATATATTTAATACACTTCCATTAAGAATATTTCTTTAAAAAAATTTGGCATTTTACATGAATTCATTTTAGTCTGTGAAGCAGGCTTAGGTTACATTCAATGCATCACATAGGTAAGTCTACGTTTGCTTCTGCAGCCAAATGACAATAGAATTAGTTGATAAGATTACAATGTAGTATTTTTTTTTTTTAGGTGCCATATCACGTGTGTACATTGGAATTTTTATATGGACTGTACTATGAAATAACACATTTCAAACTTAAAACTGCGCACTTCCTTCCACTCAAGCAGAAGAATGGACAGTGAATGAGGCCCCTGCTCTTCAGCTGAATGTGTTGTGTTAAGTTTGTAGTTGTGGCCTGCTACTGTGTGGTGACCAAGAATATGAGGTTGTGTGATGATTTACGCAAGTTGTTAAAACTCAAAAGTAATAACATTTTGCTACTTACCGACATGTTGAATTCATATTTTAGTAATTATCAATGAGTTAGTTTATCAGCTTTAGAGTATATGCATGCATTTGAATTTTACTATGAAGTCTAATGTTACTGCTCAATTCTATAAAAAATAATGGAACTTACTTGATTCATAACATGGACAATTGTACACAGCAGCATCTTATGAAACATACAAGGGTTTTGGCTTGCCTTAATATTTTGTTAGCAAATATTCAATAATCAAAACTATATATTTTGATCCACTTAAATATATATTTATATATATAATTTTAGTGTTTTAACAAATTGCCAATACTTCATAGGAGAAATAGTTTATTTTATAAATTTACAGAAGCAGACTATTTTTCTGCATTCCTCATAAAAATACCATATATTTTTGCTTTTAAAGTTCCGAAAACAAATTACTGTTAAATCTGATTTGTAGTGTTACTCTAACAACAACTGCTCTATACTCACATCTAATTTTGCTGATCATAAACCTTAAAGGTAATAAACATTTTGTCATATGCATGATCCAGCAGAAAGTTTGTTTAGAAACTACAAGAACAAAGCATTTTTAAACTTCTAAAAAACACAATATTATCATCTCCACACACGTTTCTAAAATTTCTGTGTCACGTATCCACATTTACTCTCACATAACACATCATTGATGTTCTTAGAGCAAAAAATTTACGAAATTATTACGTTATTACAAAATAATGCAATGTGGGTGATTAATACATAATCTTTAGTGTTAACAAATGAATTTAGAAGTGTTTCTGAATAAATAAATAAATATATATATAACATTTTGTATCAAGCTATAAAGATAAAGTGTAGAACCGCAGTACAGTTTTTACAATATTTGTCATATTCTTACATCTTAAACATTTTTTTAAATCATGAAGGATGAGGATAAAGGGTTCACATTTGCATACTTTCCTCAAGTATAAATACTGAATACCAATACCTACTATGCTGTTAATAATGAAACAGCTTTTAAAATCATAGGGATGAGAGGGGTTCAAATTTGTATACTTGACCTGCAAGTATACTGAGTATCATTATAATTTTTTTTTTGGAAATTGCATTCCTGCTCCAAATGCAGAATAAAAGATTTTATGAAATTTTCCAAAGAGAAATTATAAACAAATGGATAATCAACCATGTAATTAGTGATTTTTGTATTCTGTAACGGGTGACAACTTTGAAAGTAGTATGATAAACACAGTAAATTCAGAGGCACGAAAACATTTAGCTAATAATTATCAGTTTAGTTTGTATGCAACATTGCAATGGACCAGCTTATTTTCCACCACTAAAATAAATCTACCTTATATACTGTTAACTATTAATAAAGTCAAGAATAAGGATTACATTTTTCATAATTGTTTCTTTTGTTTGTTTGTCTACTTCAGTGAATGTACCATTTTTAATTCTTTCCTTTTCATACTATAAATGCTTTTCTGAAAACTTAAGGAATGTTATCATGTCAACATAACTCAGTTCATAGGCTTATCAGACATCATCAATCATATTGTGATACTAATTCAATGGGTATTTCTATGCTTTCAAACATAAGTTACAGCACTAATTTTCTTCGTATTCAAGAGATTGTCAGACTAATTAATATAACAAATATTAAACCATACTCTGACATTATAAGTATTTTATAATGACATGTAAATTTGTTTTACATTTACCCTAAAAGTAACCCATAAATAAAGTATTAAATTATTTCATTTTCTTAAAAAAGTAAATTTAAATTTGTCATTTCTGAACTTCTACTGACCATACATGTAAAGACGTGTCTTTGTACTTGTACACTGCAAATAACTTCCACCATGTCTAGTTTTTTGGCAACTAAAATGTGTTTTCATGATGTAAAAACCAGTCTTATTCTTTAACATATTTCCTTAAGTCATATATTAGCAATACATATTACGTGACTTGAGTGACACCAAAACTTGCTGTCACATTAGGACATGTACTACCAACAATGTTTACTGGTGCAAAATATATCAATACAATTTGATTTTAGATTGTTACAAAAGAACTAACAGTTTGTTTTTAGAAGAAGAAAAAAAGCTTTTTTTAAGTAATTTCTATAATTAAGCAGTGGCCAAATGCTGAAATCCTTGCTGGATAATAGAGGTTAGGTTTGACCAGTAGAGATGAGAAATGGCAGACACTGCAGATAATGACATGCAACTCAAAGAGTCATGTAAATAAAGTTCAGGAAAATTTATATTTATCATTAGATTCATAAAACACTGTGGATTAATTTAATCTAAACACCTTATTGCAAGCCGATAAACCAGTCTTTAGTGCAGTTATATGTAATATTTTTGCACCATTCACATAATGATACCTACTATAAAACGTCTTGTATACATAAACATTTATTTATTTGTAACAATTCAATAGATAAATAATATAGAAACAAACATATGTATTAAACATTTAGCTGCCTTGAAATAGATTATCTTTGCCATCACACTTACCCCTTGGGTTGCTTTTTTCTATTACTGTTAAGTATGTTGAACATACATTTGGATCCTTTCCCATTTTCTTTACGTTAATATCTTCTTAGCTTTCAGCCACAGTTTTACTCCGTCTATATGGCCTTAAGACCCTTTTACATCCTACTGGCTTGCTTTTGCTGCGTGTTTCTTCAGACTCTTCCTGGAAGGGAGGCAGAGCTCCAGCACTAATACAAGCCAAAATACTAGGATCCATCTCTCCTGATAGGTGTGTAGGCTGGAGGCTGGCCCGGCGGAAGCGATTTGGGGAACTCAGTTTGTTGACATCCACACTGGAAGGGTCTGCTTGGTAAGCTAAAGCATTCATTATAACATGATCAGGAATTACTCCCAGTGGGTGAACTTCCTTCATTAGTACACTTGCAGGAATCTTATAGAACTCAATACACTCAATAAAGTTTGCCATTGTGTCCCTCAAATTACTGCTCACCATGTTGTCACAATACCTCTTGCTCCAGTGCATGGCTGCTTGAAATTTAGTCAACTCATCTGCCCTCAGCTCCTCTCTTGACAGAATCAGTCGAACCACATGCAGAGGAAGCAGTGCAAACGATCCAAGACTGAGAACTTCATTTCCATGGTTGTCAACAAATTCAAGAACCTGAGACAGATTGTTTGGTGTTAGAATCCTTACCAGTCTACATTTAACCCAAAACAACTAAGTTCTGTAATCTGGGCAACACAGATGCAAGTTAGTAAACTTTTTAAAGTATTTTAACTGGTTCAGATATTAAATATTCATATTGATCTTCAAAACAAAATTTATTAACAGGAATATGTAACATTGTAATATTTTTATTACACAGTGTGAAATCTGTATACAACTCAAAAGAAATTTTTTTCTTCTTTCCCACCCCCCCATTATCAAAGATACAAGGCTGATTTATGTATGTATGGAAATGTATACAATTTCATGTTTATAACAGAGCAAAGATGTTTGATGAAGAATAATGTGGTTAATTACTGAGCTCCCTTACGTTAACTAAGGTTTGAACAAATCTGATAATCCATGACAAGCCTGTAATTTAGCCACTAGTTAGAACGACTTGGAAACTAGACGATATTTATTTTGAAAGCAGTATACTATTTTCTGTTTTAACTTGAAAGTATGAAGTACTGGGATAAAAAAAAGAAGAATAAATACATTACCTTACATTCACCTACTCAAAGATACAATAGGTTATCACCTTTTAATGCAATAAGTTCCATGTAAATTGTTTAGCTGTTACATGAACACGCAAGGTGCCTATAAACTTTGCCTTCAAAGATCTGGCTTCACGCTTGTTTTCTTCTGTGGCAAAATGTATTTTCAGCTTAGATGGTCACCCATCATATCAAAGGTGACAAACAGTAGCATCACACTTGGTTTTCACACTCTTAAAGATTAGCCAATTGAATCGCCAAGACACTACACACTTATCCATATTTTTCAAACTCAATATGCATATATATAGGCATAAGCCAATCAGCATGCTCAATCTGATTTGCCTACCAAGACTATTACATACATCAGTTGTTATTGAAAGTTTGTGTCAAAACAAAGATAAAAAATTGACTGTATATGGTACTGACAGACATAACTGGATGAATTATTATCAGTGGATTATGGGAGAATCTTAATGATGGTTAAGAAAAGTGTCATGTGTCTTTTTTTGTCGCATAAATTGCTGTATTTTTCATTGGATTGTTTACTGAAAGAGGTCATTGTTAATTATGTATGATATATACCACAAAATTTGATTATTCTAAATTACCTTTATACATTAATTTACAGATATAATTCCATTTTACGCATGCAATCAAATCAAACTTATAAATTGTTACCTAGAAAGGTATTTTTCATTTATTCAGAATGTCTCTAGCAAACTAATTAGATGTTAAAGTTGAGACGGCTTGAATGGATAATGAAGAAAACTTTATTATAAATGTACAACGTTTCAAAAAAATTATGTCATCATCCCATAATTTGTCAAAACATTGTACATTAATGATAAAGTTTTCTTCATTACCCATTCAAGCCGTCTCCAAACGTTTATTTTCTAAAAATTGGCTTCCTCTCCATCAAATTTAATTACACATAAAACCTTCAATAAAATCGAAGTAAAATTCTTATCAGAAATGAAAGGCCAATAAAGAAATAGAGAAATAGCCAAAAACGTTTCACAAAGTTTTGAATACGAATAATTCACTGGTACATGCAAGGTACTAAGAGATTTTCGCAGTGCTCAACTTGTAAAGATGCAGGAAAAAACAATGCGTACGAGTGGACAAAAAATCCTGCTAAGACTACAATCATGTAAGTTGACAAAGAAAATGCAATGAACTTAAAAAAGTGGTTTTATAACATCGTGAACGAAGACAAATTATTTTATTGATTCAAGTTGAAAAAAAAAATATATATATATAAATAAAATTAAATAAGTCAAACTGTTTCCTTAGACTCTGAAGAAAACAGTTTTGGAATTAAAAAACAATACAATCATCATTTAATGCTTCATATTGCATGTATACACACACACACACAAATACATATGTGTTATGGAAATATTAACCCCTGAATAAATAAAATTTCCTTTATTAAATGGTGCTTTCACATTTTAAATGCATTTGATACAGAAATGTGCAGTCCCCTTATTCTCAAAAAATTTTCCTTGTTGGCTTTTTAGAGGGATAAGTGACTTATACCTGTTTTTGGAAGTCTGGCTGTCTAGCTTGACTGGCCGGGCATGGCCAGGTGGTTAGGGTGCTCGACTCGCAATCTGCAGGTCGCAGATTTGAATCCCCATCACACCAAACATGCTTGCCCTTTCACCTGTGGGGGCATTATAATGTGATGATCAATCCCACTATTCGTTGGTAAAAAGAGTAGCCCAAGAGTTGGCAGTAGGTGGTAATGACTAGCTGTCTTCCCTCTAGTCTTACACTGCTAAATTAGAGACGGCTAGTGCAGATAGCCCCCGTGTAGCTTTGCGCAAAATTCATAACAAACTAGCTTGACCCATTTTTTTCTTTGAGTTTATGTCATCATATTGTTAAACCTCTAGTTTGTGCTCAATTACATATAGAAAATCAATCCTAGAAGGAAAAAAAGTGTCTGTATTCAACAGATTTTGTCATTAGCAATTACTGATACAATTACTTTTAGCAATTAGTGTCTCAAGTTCTTCAAAATGAATAAAGAAGCTACTTTATTCTCAATAATTGCATTATTTCAAATAAATATATATGTACTTAGAGACAAATCCAGATCTGGCAATGTAGAATTATGTAGTACTATCTGTTGATTAATATTATATCAATATGCATGACACCCGTTAATCATGTTTGACCTGTGCTGCCTTATGCAATCCAATTCAGCTATGCCCTTTGGATCTAAATGAAATAGGACAAGTGTGGCTTTCAAGAGCTTTAGTAAGTTATCCTATTTGACATAGCATAAATAGACACATTTTTAATAAAATTCTACTACAAACTAGCTGTTCATATAATCAAGGCCAAAACTACAGTCACTTTAAATTATTTTAGACCCAGTTACATGTACTGTAGAACTTCCTTAAACCATAAGAGATGTGGGTTGGATGACTGTACAACACCCTCTATATAATAAATCTAGTACATTATACTTCACTTGCTACTCGAGTAAGACAGAACTTAAATATTTCATTTATTCTTATTCCAGTTCTTGATGGTATATTAAAAATCATATGTACAGAAATCTGAACGGAACTCACCTTCTGTACTAATGATTTAGTACATTTGTACTGTATGTACTTTTCAGCAGATGATAACAGAGCACAAACAGTGTCTACGTTGATGCAACACTGAACAAACCCCATACATGCTCGTCTCAGTTCATCCAGCCCATAATAGTCAGCTGCATTCATTAGACCTATCAAAAGTAAAGAAATAAACAATAAAGGCCCAAATGTAGATTACTAGTTTTTAAACTACTTTACTTAATATATTTCTTTTAAATAATTATATGCATCATAACTGTATAAATTTTCAATTTGTATAAATTGAAAATTACATTACAGCTGCATGTAATCAAACTTTTAATACTTGTTTTGATGAGGTACATTTTTTAAACTTATAAATATATACTTCTGTGGTATACATGCATGTTATATATGATGAAAAGCGAACAATGATTTGTGAATCAATGTATTTATTATACCAAAAAAGTTTTGCAATTATAAATTCTTGAATATTAGGGATCATTAGGGAGAAGTGTATAGACTAAATTACACTGAATAAAAATTACTTAAGATATTACAGAAAATTATTAAAAATTGTTAAATGTTTTAAAGTTTTACTTAAAACAACAAGATAACTACATGTTGATCTTCTCAATTTTTACCTCATATTTGTAACTCTAAGTTGTCCAAATGTCCTGTTGTTACTGTGGTATATAAACATATCATGTATTTTCTACTTTATTCGTTTAATATAGCATTTTTTAAATTTATCAGTTATTCATGCAACTTTCACATAACAGTCATTCCAGAAATGACAAAAGGGTAACTTAAAATTATTTCCTCATTTTATTTTATGGTGGTTATGAAGTCAGTCAAGTCAACCAATTGTGTATAGAGTTATAGTATAGAAAATAACAGATAAAACAGAAAGATTTTCAGAAGAAAAAAAAACAAAAGAGGAAATCCTCAATACCCACAGCTGTAATTAGATCTCGAATTCGTCAAAAGATGGAGCTACGAGTTAAAATTTTGTACTTGAAAAATAAAATTAAAGAGCCATTCTGTGAGCTGCTATGCTGCAGCTAAAAACATTTTATATTTATTTAGGAAATTTTATAAATTATGCAAACGAAATCTGAAAATGTTCATGTGAAGAAAAGCATTTGAAATCTTAAATGTGAAAATCACTTTGCCCTCGGAGCAGTCAACACTCCAAAACCACATAATTATGAATAACATTTTAGAAAAAATACATTAATTAAAAATTCCCATTTTTTTGTTTACAAAAGATTACATATTTACTGAAAGCTTGGCAAATTACATGAAGATACATTAAGTACTTTCATAGTCATAGTATGTATACTAACATGGTTACATAGTGGTTACAAGGTCATGTAAAATACACGAGCCTGTTGCGATAAGGTTAATTGTTTGACTTTGAACACAATGTAGTTACAAAAATGAGATTTTCCTTTAAACTTTTAAAGCCAGATTAGAAGTGTGAGTGTTACCCAAATCATGCTTAATGTACATGGATTGTTTTGTTTTTGCAACATATCAACTTTTCATTACCACAAACATTTGTTCAATGATATCATTTCAATAAATTTGGTACCTGTGAATAAAGATTTCAAATGAATTTTATATGTAAACCAACCATATACATTACCACTACAAATTTGAATCTGGTTTGTTTTTGTTTCACATCAGACAGATACTTATTTTTACTCAGTTGACATTTCAACTTTCATGTAGATCATAGTTTGAAAAACTGGTTACGGTTGAAATACCTTTATTTCATTGTCCTCTAATCTGGTGTTAAAGTTTCAGTACAGAGAAAAATTAGTTGAAAACAAACTTTCATTGTATTTTTCACTGGTACAAAATGACTAAGCTGAAAAACAAAGATGACTAGCTTATTTCACTTTTTAAGTAATATACAAAGTTATCAGTCATCTTAGTGACTATAAATGACTATGAACATGTAGCAATTTATTTCATTTTATTTAAGTCAAGGTTTATTCATTTAGAAACTAAGTACAGTGTTCCTATTTCTCTATTCTTGCAAAGGTTCCTGCATTGAAATATAGGTTACTCATATCTCAATACTTTCCTGTTACTTAAGCTCAGTTCTGTATCTGTTTACAACAAATTATTTCTCTTTAACATCAAGATTCTTTTATTGGTAAAATTCAATGTTGCAGCCTTAATGTAATGTATCTAACTATGATGAACTTAGTATACTTTTGTTATAGTAGTCCACGATAACTCTATAATCCATGCACTAGTTTAAAACATTAATTCAAAATTATTATTGGCATAGCAAATACTCAGTCTTCTAAAGACTGCTAAGATACCTTTAAAACTTACCATTAAGCTACTGGGGAACACAACAAGATGAAAAGTCGCATGGTAACAATAATTAAAATGTCTGAATAATCCATTGTCTCCTAATATTTAAAATAGTTTACTGAAAGTGGGTATTGTTTGATTTTGCTTTAAGAATATATTACAACTATTGCTTTTATTACAACTGAACCAATTTTTCTTGCGTGTTTCAACCAATCAGGTGTGGATGAATATTATTTACTATAGTTCATCAGTACAATTGTCAGCTGAGATTATAACGTCGATATTTCTTACCGAGAAGTGTTCTAGCCTGCAGAGTGACACAGCCTGTGTGAATGTATTCAATCAGCTGTCGGAAGACATCCGGTTCAAACTCTTCCACAATCAAAGTTTGGTGAGCATTTACTGGAGTCTGAAAGCAACATATTTAAAAGAGAATGTGTAATGAAAATGAAAAATTCTACTAAACCTATAAGTGTGGTAGCAAACATTTTTCTAGTACCATACATGTAGAAGCATTAATTAAACTTGGTTGGGTAAATATGATATATCTGGTAAATTTGGTTATGCATGCTTATATCTTAAAAAAAAAATGACAGATGACACAGTACAATACATTTGCAATATCAGGTAAGCATTAATTAAACCTGGTTGGGTAAATCTGAAATAATTAGTGTTTGGTAATCTTGATGACAATAAACAATACACTTGCATGGCAAATAATAAATAGATGTTTTAAGGAAGAGCATTGTGTACATTAAAATATCTTATTTAATATTTACCATTTTTTTTTTTATAGTACAAGTTTTCCCCCTTTTTTTGTTTTCAATTTACTTGTGTCACTATGTGTTTGTTTTTTTTACATTTTCAGGTTATAATGGCTGTCTACTTTACATAAACAGGGCATAAATAGGGGTTGGCATTGTCTGACCAAAAATTGCATACATCCAATGAAGATGGCTTTTGTCTGGACCTTTTTTGCCTCATATGTTATTATTATGAATAAAATGTAATTAGTTGACACTGTCAAGTGAGGATTTACTAAAACATTATCCTAAGTTACTGGATAATGTCTGGCAAGAAATCTTCTATAGCATTTATCTTCTAACTGGATCACCTTGTTAAAGTATTAGGTAAATATCAGGTACAGATACGAGTAGGTGACTTAATACTAGAACACCTTTTCTTTGCATGTGATAAAGTAGATTTAGAAGGTCAAATACTAGAACAAATTTTTTTAAAAGCAATGTTATGGAAATTTCAGTCATGCACAACAGGCTGCACACAGAGACAGAGATAGTGGCATTCAATAGTATAGAATCTGACCCCTTCACAGACTTGCATGTAGTAGAGGAACTAGGGCTTTAGAAGTTGTATGGTATGGCTTCTGTAGAATTATAAAATAGTATTAAGAAAGCTAATCTAGTCCCTAGGAAACAACATACCAGTTAAAGATTGACAGTAATAAACAAGGAAGAAAGCAGAGAAACAGTAGTAGATTTAAATAAAAGATAAGGTTGAGAAACTTAGCACAAATAAGAAGATATTAGTGATGAAAAATACAGTATCTAAGAAAGGTATTATTCCAGTGAGCTTTAAATACAAATAAAGGTAAGATAACATTGCTGAAGAATATGCTAGTAGTTAAGGCTAACAAAATAGAGAAACTAGCAGCTATGAATAATGAGATAAAACAGATATATGGATAACAAGCATAGACTGGAAAATAATTACAGAGTATAAAAGAATAACACAAAAGTGAATCACCGAAGTTGTTAATGTCTATAAAGATAAATTTTGTGGAGAGATGAGCCTACAGTATTATAGAATAAGACACCCTGGAGCAAGGAAATATCACAAGTAGTAGTAGCCCACATGCTGTGAAAATAATGTGGGGGCATCTACAGAAAAAGTATCTGAGTGATAATATGAAGAAATTATGTCTTAAGAGAAAGATGATATTAGGAACAGATGGCTAAAGATTTGAACTGAGGATTGTGAGTGAGAACTAAACATAGATTTCAGTTCATAAGAGGACAGAGAAGAGGGGGATGAATGATTAGAAAGGCCTTGAAGAGATCCAAGAATCAGAGATAGGTAAAAACATAAGTTTATTCACAATTACAGCTGCCAAAAGTGAGTAAAAAAATCCAGCTTATCTTACAAGGGACCAGATAAAAGTATTATGTGAAGATCATGGCATGGCAACTTAAGGTGAAAAAAGAACATAAAAGGCACATGTAGGAGGAACTTTCAAGACTGATAAGGTGCAGAATCATGGACTAACATTAAGTAAAGGTGCAGATATCACAAATTTCAAAGCATAGATGGAAGATATGAGCAACTAGTTTGGCTGGAAAGATTATGTCACTTGAAAGAGAATATATACTGGACTTACAAACTCAATTATTACATATGGATACCAAGGAAACATTGTAATAAATAAAAATCTACGATAATGGTATTCATTATACATCATCAGTTCATGAGTATGATAAAAATAATACAGTACATGATATCGGTTGAGATAACTATTGGAAGAGACAACTGTTGATAACCCACCCAATGAGACAGTATTAACAGTAACATCTATAAATAATAGCAATAATAATAATAAAAGCAGTTCAGTTGCTTTTCCAATAACATTAGTTTAAGGCCTCAGTTGAGGTCTGAGATTAATGTTATTGGAACAGCAAGTAAACTGCTTTTATCATCATAAAAATGTAGTCATTTGTTAAGGTCAATAATAATGCCAGGAAACAGAACAGACTAGATCATCATATGATTTGTTAGTAAGCATATAACTACACAATGGCCTATCTGTGCTGTGTCCATTACATGTATCAAAGCCTAAGTTTAAGCATTATAAGCCTTCAGACTTGTTACTGAGCCACTGGGGGTGGGTGGGTGAATTCCTCATATGGACTTATGTTAGAAAGTGTTTTATGAGAATACATGGACATTTAATACATTCTGTGAACAGATTCAAGTGTTGCATGATAACCTTAATGAACCAATAGGCTTAGAACAGACACCATTTATTTAATCACATTTGACATCTGTGATAAAGTCTACAAAGAAAATGAGGACATACAAATATTAAACCAAAATGATGTATTAGAGCATAAGATTTGTGAAATATGTTATAGTGTGCAGAAATTGCTTAGACTTGCGCTGGATTACGAAGACCCGTTATAGCACTGATTATCATTTGATTATTAACTTTGATGTACTGAATTCCAAGAAATAATTTTGAATGTACTATTCCATTGGTACATGAAACAATATTTTTAAATACTTATATTGATGATAAATTCAGTGTTACACTTTTTAGTGTTATATTGTATGTATACTCAATATTGATCTCTTCACATAACAATGAGAGGGTTAACAGACTTATAATGTTAATCTATATGTATGGCTATGACTGTTACTAATGAGATTCATTGATAATATGCATTAAGTTAATAACTTCAAAGAAAAATTTGTTTGTTTGTTTATTTGTAATTAAGCACAAAGCTACCCAATGGGCTATCTGTGCTCTGCCCACCACAGGTATCGAAACCCGGATTCTAGCATTGTAAGCGCAGACATACTGCTGTGCCACTGGGGGGCAGAACAATTTGAGTTTCAGGGAAAATTTTCTAAGATAGGAAGTTTTTAAATGGGGAGGGGGGGGGGGTAGTTGAGCATTAATGCTAGGAAAATTAATAAATTAAAAGAAGCTTTTGTGGTAACATTAGACATTTTCCAAGTGCATGAATGGATGCTACTCAAACAAGGTCAAGTGAAATTGGACAAATTAATTACATCCATGAATAAGCTGATTGTTAACTATATATATTTGAAGACTTGGTCATTTTAGACCAACCACAAAATCATGAGATGTAATTGTAAATGTACTTAATGTATCTTCCTGAAATTTGGCAAGGTTTATGAAGGTTTTACCGAGTTGGTCGGTGTGAAAGATGATTTTCATTTTAAGAATAAAAATACTTCTTTTTATCTTAAAGTTATCATATTTCATTTACAAAAGCCCCCCAGTGGTACAGCGGTATGTCTGCAGACTTACAATGCTAGAAACCGGGTTTTGATACCCGTGGTGGGCAGAGCACAGATAGCCCATTGTGTAGCTTTGTGCTTAATTACAAACAAACATTTACAAAACCTCTAGAACCTCCTAAATACATTTTGTTTTGGCAAAATCATAATTTATCTCTTATTTTCCATATCCTAACACTACCTGTAATGAAATCATATGCAGCAAAAGTTAAAAAATATGAAATAAAATCAAAAGTATTTTTTTTTAACTAGAATGACTACAAATTCTAGCAGAAAATTACAATCTTAAGAGCTTTAGGCCTATTAACTTTTTTACAACTGCTTTCTTTTAATATCACTGTTTTACTGGTCTTTAAACCTTCCCTAAGCAGTAAATCATGGGTGGAATAGCAAAGTAAATAAATAGATCAGATTACACCATGCACATCTAACAATGTACATTCCTCGAGAAGCAATAATGAAATATTTAGTATTTTCTTCATTTAAGTTTTCTTATCTAACCTAAAAAGTTGAGTTTTTATGCTTCAGTAACTTTTGTTAATATATATATTTATATATAACAATAAATTTAGATTTAACCATAGTTCTAGGCTGGATTGCACTCAAGTGCCTGCTTTCGTAAGCCTTCCTTTTTCTAGCTATGTTGGCTTTCCAAAAAAATAATTAATGTAGCTTTCAAATATGAATATTAAAAAACTAAAAACATACTCTCTCTATTTCTTGAAGCACTGTCTTTGGTCTAAACATATTGAGCCCTCAAAGCAAATTATCACCTTTCAGCACACAAACAAAACAGACTAACACATGGATCATGTACTGTACAATTTGCTCTTTCGACGAGTTAAAAAACATACACTCTCTATTTCTTGAAGCACTGTCTTTGGTCTAAACATATTGAGTCCTCAAAGCAAATTATCACCATTCAGCACTCAAACAAAACAGACTATCACATTGATCATGTATTGTACAATTTGCTCTTTCTACGAGTTAAAAAACATACCTAATGGCAATGTCAGACAGATATGTCTTAAAAGACAGAGGGTATGGGAGGAGTGTGTCAATGTTGGATGAACAAATAGTGATATTTCAATAAAACAAGAAGAGGTTGGAAGTCTATATTATAGCTTGTCAGTATCTATTGCATGTATTTCTAACTGGTTGAACAACCTGAAGCATTTGTAAGGGAAGATATAAAATAATATATAAATAAAAAATCACAGCACTATCAAGTCATGTGACTATGAGTTGCAGAGTGAGAACTTATTTAAACATTTCCTTTTAAACTAAAAAAATAAACTTAAATAATATAAACATTTTAATTATAAGCTACTACATTTTAATACCTAGTGTACTGGCATAAATTGATAAATAAAGTTGTTTAATTAAATTTTGAATGAAACTCTGTAAAAGGTTGTAAAATGCTTTCTTTGACCCTCACATGTATCCACTTGCAATTGTGTCATTAGTTAGACCTTGGAAAGAATTTCCAAGAACACAGTTGTAACACTATTACAAAGGAGGCTTTTGTGTGAGACGTGTTTTGATTATGTCATGAGAGTACAGGTGCTCTACTGCATGCAATTGCATCACTGACTGGCCACAGATGGAGTTTTCAGCTGTGAAAAGCAGGAACTTAAAAGAGTACAAGTATATATCTGCAATTTCAAGTGTGGGAGTTTACTGAGATAAATGTTTAGTATTATAGAAGGTTGGTTAAAATCACAATTAAATTCCTGCTGACATCAGTTAAACTAAACAAACATACTTAACCAAGGATTGCTCTGGGTATGTGTTCTAGTAGGAATAAGTATATATTCGTGTTGTACGAAAATCACCCATGATACTACGTGAGCTTGGGTATTATAAAAGCTGGTGCCAAATTAGCATAGAAAAATAAACAATAAGCAAAGCAGAGCAGTATGGATGAGAATCTATCGAAGAATAGGCGAGCTCATTTTAAACCTGAAATTCTGTAAGCAGTAAGTGTTAATTTATTTGTTTTTCGTGTATTGAATATGAACAAAGTTAAGACTGATTTGTTAGAGTTATGATTAAACATGAATTAAGGGAACAATAACTAAAGAGAATAATGATTTGAAATGCGCTAAAAATATTTTATATTTTGTACTAATCATATATAATGAATGTCTGATTGTGTGTATTACAAGTGTTTCTCTCTCTTCATTCTAACTCTCACTGTAAACATTCCTAAGAGTTTGAGGAACTTACGAATCACAACTTAAGTACAAAGTTATTGTAAACAACCTAATGGGGCATAAGCCTTATTCCCATATCACGTATAGGCCACTTGACATGTAGGCTACTGTTATGTATGGTTTATAATGGTTAGCAACAGCCAGTTGAAGTCAAAGTGCTATGATGAGAAAGGAAGTCAGATCTTGAAAAAGGAATGTTTACTGGATGAAGCACCAGTGGTATGTATCTGTGGGTAATGTGCCAAAGAAATAAAAAAACAATAAACATGCTAATGGGCAATATTGGCCCAGTTGCCCCAAATTAATCACTTACTGGTCTATGTAAACTTTTATATGTTTTGTGGAATGGAATTATACATCTGGCATAAAATCCATCACATAAGATTTTAATGAGAATTCAGAACTGAATGAAAGCACAGCCAGTGGCGTAGCAAGAGGGGGGCAGTCGCCCTCGGCGCAGGTGTGAAGGGGTGCAAACTTTCCTCTGGCCTATAATGCATATTAATTAATAATTATGCCCTCCCCTAGGTTATAGTACAATTGCCCTACGTTAAGTAAATACGACACAGTGTTACGTTATTTGTGTGTATTACGCTTGCAGTTTTAACTTTTAAAAGCCGCCCATTGAAATACAGTGAGACCGAATTAACGTACAGAAGTAAATTACACTATTCCATCATTCATCTGTAGATCAAATACAAGTCCCAGAGTACAACTTACAAGTAAGTATATGTTCAACAAAAAGAAAATACGAGATTGATATGACATATTAACTGGTGTGCAAGATTGGCAATATATGCAACAGGCAAGGCCTAGATCTAGATCTAGTAAACATTACAGGCCTAATGTAGTGGTTTGTAATTGTATTGAATGATTGTAAATCATGTTATACACCAATTAATGTACTAGACTTTAGGTCTAATTGCAGTTATAACTATTTCTAGACCCTAGGCCCATCATCATACAAATTGTAGCCTATATTATAGGCATACTTAAACCTATACTAACTATTAAACTAGGCATTGCACTGGGACAGATCTAATGACTAAGTTAATAGATCTAGATGTAACATTTGTTCTAAAAGTTAGGCCTAATAAATCTAAATCTAGAATTGATAAGGCAGGGTTATATCTAGATCTGGGTAGATTCAATACAAGGTGCTTTCAATCTATGCACCCAAATCAAAGGTCTAGTTTAGATGTATAAAGCTAAATTTCGGTCATTATTATTATTACATCTAGATCCAAATCTAAGACTAAAAAGATGGAAATAACAGATCTAACATTAATGTTAGATCT